ACGTTTACCATGCAATTGGGGCTGAACCCAGCTTTGGGCACAAGGGCAAATACACCATCCGAATGCTGTGCAGGCACGTGGAGCCCTTGTTCAGAAGGGTTCTGGAGTCTCTCCATTTGGACAACCCCGAGGGACACTAGCTCAGGAGCATCTTGACAAGAGGACAGAAGGGAGCACTACAGAGAAGACTGCTCTTCAAACAGATTCAAGGAAAGGCTTCTGCTCACTCACTTCGGTCTCTAAGCACCAACGTTCTCTTTTCACGCTTCCCAGGTTCAAGTGAATTAGTTTTCACGACAGATGCAGTGAGGTCGGAAGAAGGCTGAGGGCCATGGAAACCTGAGGAGGGCACACTGTGGGGCATGGTGCCCACAGCGCCACCAGATGCAGCAGAGGGCCTCGTGTGATCATACCTAAACAAAACACACAGCAGATGCATTACAGACCATCCCCATCCATGTAACCCACTGCCCAGACTTCAGTGGGCTCCCGGCTCCACTTACTGTGGTGGTGAAGGAGACCATCTTTTTTCTTTCTTTCTTTTTTGAGACAGAGCCTCAAGCTGTCCCCCTGGGTAGAGTGCCGTGGCATCACAGCTCACAGCAACCTCCAACTCCTGGGCTCAAGTAAGCCTCCTGCCTCAGCCTCCCAAGTACCTGGGACCACTGGCGCCCGCCACAACACCAGGCTATTTTTTTGGTCGCAGCCGTCATTGTCGTTTGGCGGGCCCGGACTGGATTCAAGCCCACCACCTTAGGTGTATGTGGCTGGCACCTTAGCCACTTGAGCCACAGGCGCCGAGCCGACCATCTTTTCCAATAGTTAAACTTTAACAGGCTTATCAATTAGTTACAGCTGCCTGGACATTCAGTATGAATGGGACATTTGCTACCTATCACCTACACTTGTGTCCCTGTGGGACCTGAGTGGAATAGAACACACTGCTCCAAACCATCCAAAGAAAGCCCAAAAGTTCCAAACAGATGTTGAGTTGAAATTTCCTGATGCTTAATCAACCCAGGGTTCTTTGGGCAGAGTCCCCAGAATGTTGGCAAGGGCCAATGTAATAGCCGGAGACCAGTCCCTCTTATGGGATACCCACTGGCAAGTAGACAGGGAGAGCCACCTTCAATTACCCCCACTCCACAGAGGAAGGAGTGTAAGAATCTTTGTCGTCCAGGAAGGACAGATCAGCTCTTTGCTATACAAGCACCAGCAGGTTCTGGTAATTTTTTCCATCTACCAATTCCCCAACTTGCCAAAGGAAGACTCCATATGCACATAATGCTCACTGCAGGGATACCTGGACCAGAAATACTGGAGACCACTTAAATGTTTAAGAGAGGAATAGTTAATTAAATGTTGGTACATTAATTCATGAAACATTATAAAATTACAGTTAGGAGGTAAAACCTCAGAAGAGAAAAAGCTTGACATGTTAAGTGGTAGAAAAAGCAAGATATAAAATCTCACATTTACCATGAGTGCCATTTACAACTATGTATTCATGAGAATAAGGACTGAAAAGTAATTTTAAAAAATTAAGGCTCGGCGCCTGTGGCTCAGGCGGCTAAGGTGCCAGCCACGTACACCTAAGGTGGCGGGTTCGAATCCCCAGCCCGGGCCCGCCAAACAACAATGATGGCTGCAACCAAAAAATGGCCGGGCGTCGTGACGGGCGCCTGTGGTCCCAGCTACTTGGGAGGTGGAGGCAGGAGACGCGCTTGAGCCCAGGAGTTGGAGGTTGCTGTGAGCGTGATGCCATGGCACTCTACCCAGGGGGACAGCTTGAGGCTCCGTCTCAAAAAAAAAAAAAAAAAAAAAAAAATTAACAACAGTTTGGGGGTACTGAAACTGAGGTTTTAAGCTTATTTGGCATACTTTTTGTAATGTCATATTACTTTTAAATGGAAATTCCCCCTCCACAAGACCCATGCTCTGAACGAAGTAGTCCCAGTGGGGCCCGCCCTGGAGTCCTTGCCTGCACCGAGTTCCGTAGGCACAGTACCCCTTCTGATAGTATTTGCAGATGGTGGACGGCTTGCTGTTCGCCAAGTCATGAGAGAACAGGCACTGGCTTCCTTCCCGACACACACCATGCATAAAATACCTGAAGAGACAAGCACAGGCATGCAAGGTTCAGCAGCACACTTTGCTTTATAAAAATCAGCATACTTTTTTTTTTGAGACAGAATCTCACTATGTTGCCTTTGGTAGAGTGCCGTGGTGTCACAGCTCACAGCAACCTCAAACTCTTGGGCTTAAGTGATTCTCTTGCCTCAGCCTCCAAGTAGCACCCACCACAACACCTGTTTTTTTTTTTTTTTTTTTTTGGTTGTAGTTATCATTGTTGTTTGGCAGGTCTGGGCTGGATTCGAACCCCCAGCTCCAGTGTATGTGGCTGGTGCCCTAGCTGCTAAGCCACAGGTGCTGAGCCAAAATCAGCACATTCTTAAACCTAACTACAGGTATGCACTACTACACCTTTTTAAATTTTTTCTAGAGACATAGTCTTGCTATGTTGCCCAGGCTGGCCTTGAACTCCTGGGCTCAAGTGACCCTCCCAGCTAGACCTCTCAAAGCACTAAGATTACAGGCATGAGCCACTACATTTGACCTCTACAAAAAATTCCTTAAAAATCAGCCAAATGTGGGGCAGCACCCATAGCTCACTGGGCAGGGTGCCGCCATGTACACCTGGTGGATTTGAACCTGGCCTGGGCCTGCTAAGCAACAAAGACAACTGAAACCAGAAAACAGGCATGTGTTGTGGCGGGTGCCTATACTCCCAGCTACTTGGGAAACTGAGGCAAACCCTTAAGCCCAAGAGTTGGAGGTTGCTGTGAGCTGTGATGCCACAGCACTCTACCCAGGATGACAGCTTAAGACTCTGTCTCAAAAAATAAATAAATAAATAAATAAATAATCAGCCAAATGTGGTGGCACATGCCTATAGTCCCAGCTACTCAGGAGGGTGAGGTGGGAAGACGGCTTAAGCCCAGGAGTTGGAAGTTACAGAGCGCTATGATCATTTCACTGCACTCCAACATTGTGACAGAGACCCTGTCTCTTAAAAAACAAACAAACAAACAAAAACTCTTTGGTATTAAGGATAAACTCCTCCTGATAATTGAGAAAATATTCTATGAAAAACTGTTCTGTCTGTTCTCATGGAACTCAAGGGTATGACTAATGGAGTCAGAGATCTGGGCTCAAGATTCCACTCTGCCCCTTACAAATAAGTCACTAAGCAACTTCCCTGAGCCTCACTACTTTTATTTATAAAATGGAGAATTACATCACCTACTTTACCAGTTGTGGTAAGGATCAAATACCACAGGGAGGCATCAAAAAGATATATACAGATGCTCCTCAGCTTATAATGGAGTTCTGTCCCGGTAAACCCACTGCAAGTTTAAAATGAGTCAAAACGCATTTCACACACCTAACCTACTGATCATCATAGCTTAGCCTAACCTTCCTTAAACATACTCAGAACAGTATGTTAGCCTACAATTGGGGAAAACCATCCAACAAAAGCCTGTTTTATAACAAAGTATTGAAAAATCTCATGTAATTTACAAAACTTGCTACTTCTAAAAGTGAACACCAGAATGGTTGGTTGTATGCGTACCCAGCACAGTTCCTACCGAATGCGTATCACTTTCACATCATCTCCTAGTCAAAATACCATAATTTCAACTACCCTAAGTCAATTATCATTAAGTCAGAGACTTTTTTTTTTCCAGAGACCTTTCTGTATGTATGAGAATGTTCCACTGAGATATCAAATCTGTCCTTGAAGGAACACCCAGTACAGGACTGACTGGAAGGAAGAGACCTGATTGAGTACTGAGCGCGAACAGTAGAGAGACTGACTCAACGGGACATGTTTGGTGTGAAGGATAAACTCGTCCTGGAGTAAAAGGGTATTTTAGGCCAGGCGCAGTGGCTCACGCCTATAGTCTTAGCACCCTGACAGGCCAAAACAGGTGGATCGCTTGAGCTCAGGAGTTCCAGATCAGCCTGAACAGACTGAGACTCTGTCTAAATTAAAAAAATAATACAATAAAATCATAAAAATGAATTTCTGGCTGACCCAGATAGGAGGATCCCTTGAGCTCAGGAGTTTCAGATAAGCCTAAACAAGAGTAAGACCCCATCTCTACTAAAAACAAAGAAAAAATACTATGCAAATTTCTCAAAAACTTAAAATAGATTTATCATATGATCCAGCAATTTTACTTCTGGGTATATAAGAATTAAAAGCAGAGATTCAAAAAGTATTTGTATAATTGTGTTCCACAGCAGCACTATAACAGCCAAAAAGGTAGAAATAACCTTGTCCATCTTTCACATCATCTCATAGTCAAACTGAACGTCATAGCCTAGCCTAGCCTAGCCTGGGTACATCACACAACATGTGGTCCAGCCAGGCACAGTGGCTTGCACCTACAATCCCAGCAACTCGGGAGGCTGTGGCAGGATTGCTTGAGGGCTGAAGATTGAGACCAGTCTGGGCAACACAGCAAGACTACATCTCTCCATAAATAAATAGATAAGATGTGGTACGATCAACCTTCAGAGGGAAATTCTGACACATGCTACCAAATAAGGACATTATCCTGAGTGACATCAGGGAGTCAAAAAAGATATCGTTTGACTCCACTTCTATGACAGAAAGGTGGTTGCCAGGGGCTGGGGACCGGCAGACACGGACGTTGCTATTTAAGGGGTACAAAGTTTCAATTTTCCAAGACAGAGAGTTGTGGAGATTGGTTACACAACAATGTAAATATACTTAGCACTACAGAAATACAAAAATTGCTAAGATGTTAAATGTTGTGTTCTGCAGGAAGTCTAACAATAAAGCAAACTCATCCCAGGAAGTGCTCTGCAGGGTGAACTAGGAGCTGGTGTCAGTGCTTAGCCTCCTAAAGGGAGTATTTTTTTCCTAGGATGAGTTTGGTAACTTAATTTTTATCTGGCCATATATATTTTACTATGATATAAAAATTTTTTTAAACCAGTATAAACAACCTTGTCATGGAAGAGCATATTCTTGTTTATTGGCAAAGCCGTCACCATTTAATTGGTATCAGATTCTGACTTGCTCAAGTAACATTCTTCACTTTAAAAATCTGAAGAGTTTGGCTTCGTGCCTGTGGCTCAAGAGGCTAAGGCGCCAGCCACATACACCTGAGCTGGCGAGTTCAAATCTAGCCCAGCCCGCCAAACAACAAGGACTGCAACCAAAAAAAAAACAGGCGGGTGCCTGTTGTCCCAGCTACTTGGGAGGCGGAGGCAGGAGAATCGCTTGAGCCCAGGAGTTGGAGGTTGCTCTGAGCTGTGATGCCACTGCACTCTACCCAGGGCGACAGCTTGAGGCTCTGTCTCAAAAAAACCCCCAAAAAACTGAACAGTAATGGTTACTGGGCAAACTTTTTCTAGGAAGCTGAGTTCACTCCAACTGGCAACAGGAAGATAAGATATCAAGTCCAAAATGACTGGGGGTGAAGTCTTATGCAGTATCTTGCAGTGGATTCCTCAACTTTTCAATCATACCTGGAAGAATGGATCTTTCTAGTAATATTCTGGAAATTACCAGGGCATCAGCTTTAAATATAGGCCTGAGGTTTTTAGAGGGAATTCCCTGATAATAAATTAAATGTTTAATTCATGTGGAAAAAAAAAAGAACAGTATAAACAGTATGATCTCATTTTGGTTAAAAATTATAACTGTATATAAACATGCATTTTTTTAATCTAGAAAAATATATAAATGTTAAGAGTGGTGATCTTTGAGAGGAAAGTACATATTTTTATCTTTTTTTTCTTGCCATCTGTATCTTCCAACATACCAATCATGTGCATGGGCTGGGAGCAGTGCCTCCTGCCTGTAATCCTAGCATTCTGGGGCCTAAGGTGAGTGGACTGTCTGAGCTCAGGAGTTCCAGACCAGCCTGAGCAAGAGCAAGACACCATCTCTACTAAAAACAGAAAAACTAGCCCGGTGTTGCAGTGGGCATTTGTATTCCCAGCTACCTGGGAGGCTGAGGCAGGAGGATCCCTTGAACCTAGGAGTTTGAGGATGCTGTGAGCTATGATGCCATGGCACTGTAGCCTGGGTAACAGAGTGAGGCTGTGTTACAAAAAAAAAAGAAGGAAGGGAGGGAGGGAGGCAGGCAGGCAGGCTTATTAAAAACTAAAATCTCGCTATGAAACTTTTTTGAAAAGGAGCTTTATTATCATAGCTTTAAAAAAGAAAGAAAAAGAGCTTTACCTTTGAAACCATGTTTTATTTTAAAAATAAACTAAAAATATTATGGAAAATTTCCAACAAAAGTACACAGAAGAGCAGAATTACCTCCTGAGATGGACCCAGCCCCGCTTTCATGCTATCAACTCACAGCCAATCTGGTTTCACTCACTTCCCCGCTCTCCTGCCTGACTGTGACAATTTATCCTTGGTCAGGGATACCCTTGATACATACCCCTTGAAAGAAGAGTTTTGGGCAAAGGGGATCCTCCTTCCCTCTGAACAAGTACATTATGAAAAATACATGATATGAGAAAAATACACACGATTTGATGCGTTATAACTATCAATAGCACTTTCCCCTCCTGTCTCTTATCCAATCCTGACTATGAGGAATATTATCACAACCTCCACGGTGTAAACGGGAATGCCAAGGCTCAGAGAGGTGATGTGACGTGTACCAGACGTATCTGCCAGGTCTGGGGGCCCTGGTGACTTTCCTGACAGCTCTGACCTTTCCTCAACAGTATCGACTTTCCCATCACAATGCTTTTGTTGAAGCATGGCCCGTGAAACACTGCTCACTGTGTTTTATCCCACTGAGTTATTATAATCCACCGTCTTCCATGGCCACAGAAAGTTGTTTCCCACAGACTTACTGATGGCATCTACCCAGTAAGGTGCTTCCCATTATGGGGCCCCAGGCCCTCAAGAGCAGTGATTTTCAAGCATTGTGCCATGAAAAATTTGAAAAGATCATGAATTATTTTTGAAAGAAGCTCAATGAGCAAAGTATCACAAGAATGGAGGAAAAAGTATCCAATGTACACACCCCTATTATGAAACTAATTTATACCTTTTATATGAAAGCTATAACCAAATAGCCTAAGAATATGGGGAGGGGGAAGGGAGGAGGGAGGGGGGAATGGATAGAGGGAGGGGGTTTGGAGGGATCACTTCTGAGGTTTATCTTATAGGGGTACAAGTGAATCTTTTTAAGAGTAGAATGTGAACGTTTTAAAACAATAACTGAGAAAATGACATGAAGGCTGTGTTGACCAGTTTGATGGAAGTATTTCAGATTGCATGTGAAAACCCCACACTGTACCCCAGAAGTGCATTAATGTACATAGTTACCATTCAGAAAAAAAAAAAAGAAAGAAGCTCAAAGCACATTAAGTCTTCTTTTTTTCATTCTTTTTTAAAATGAGCATAATTTAAGTGTGCTGCAGAAATTTAACTATAGGTTCAAGTGTGCCCTGAGATAAAAAAGGGTTGAGACACACTGATCTAAAGCTAGTGCTCTTGAACATGTAGTTAGGAACATCTGGTCTCCAATGAGTATCTTCAGGAAGGCACAGCTGGAACACAACTAAAGGTAAGTGAATACAGAAGACCTAACTCTGGCACCTGGCATGCACCTGTAGCTCTAGCTATTCAGGAGGCTGAAGCAGAAGGATCACTTCATCTGGGTAGTTTGAGGCTACAGTGAGCTATGATCACACCACTGCACTCCAGCCTGGGTGATGGGAAAAAAGAAGAAAGCCTGACCCTAACCATTTAAAAGTCTGCAAAACTGAAGTAGACCATAGACAGAAGGGGCCCTGACTCCCGGTGTCCCCAGAGAAAGGCTCCAATGAGCACACTGCTGCACATCTGCCCCCGCGACACGCCTGTGCCAGCTGGCACCACGAAACTAAAGATCTTCCATCCCTCCTTGCTTAGCAAGCAATTTTCTAACTCCTTCATCTATTTATCTCCCTAAAAGCAGGAGAAGTGTTGATGAGGCCCACCTGTGTTTCTTTTTCCCAGAGACGAGAAAAGGATGTTCTAGCACATGTCTCTCCTGCTTTTGGCCAGCATGAGCCACCTCTAGGTAGACAATAAGCCTACAAAGATGAGAACTGCCCTTGTGACTTAGGTGACTACACTACAGTGCTACCTTCTAGTCTTTTCTAGGTAGTCAGCTGGGCTTTCCCCAGAAACACACCCATGGGGTGTCTCCCACTAGATTGAACTCTGTATAACAATCTGCTATAAAGAAGGCTGCTATAGATTTGCTTTTTAAAACCAGTGGGAGGCGGCACCCATAGCTCAGTGGTTAGGGCGCCAGCCACATACACTGAGGCTGATGGGTTCGAACCCAGCTGGGCCTGCCAAACAACAATGACAACTACAACAAACAAATAGCTGGGCATTGTGGCAGCCGCCTGTAGTCCCAGCTACTAGGGAGGCTGAGGCAAGGGAATCGCTTAAGTCCAGGAGTTTGAGGTTGCTGTGAGCTGTGACACCATGGCACTCTCCCAAAGGTGATATAGTGAGACTCTTTCTCAAAAAACAAAAAACAAAAAACCCAAAAATGCACAGAAAAGAGTTACCCTAGCAGATCTGAGACTGCTATCCTTAGAAACGTCTGCTTCCAAGGCTGGCCTCTGCCTGGCATCAGCAAACATGGCTAGTAAATATTCCCTACATGGATATCAAACTTTGCTCATATGACGGGAGTGTCCCCTCCAAACCCGTGGTGCATGCTGAACCCCTGCCGCCTTCTGAGCCTGCAATCTCAGTGCCTGCTGAGAAGAGGCTGCTTGTGTGACAGCACAATCTCCCACAGCTGCCCTGACACACACTGCTGCACTTTTTGATGCTGGGTAAGAGTGTACTTGCTGTGTGATCCTCCTGGGGAGGGAGAGATGTAGGAAGCCACACTCAGGTTCTTCCAGACTCCTCCCTGATAATCGGGCTGGGACTCCTTACTGTTATAATCTCAGCCTTGGGTACAACTGTATACTGGGCCCCACTAGTCTTTATAGCTTATCTCTGGGTGTAGGGGTGGGCTTGTATATATACAAAAGTGTGTGTGTGTATATATATATATATATATTTACTTATTTATTTTTTTTGCAGTTCTTGGCCAGGGCTGGGTTTGAAACTGCCACCTCTGGCATATGGGGCCAGTGCCCTACCCTTTTGAGCCATAGGCTCCGCCCCCAAAGTATATTTTACATCTAAGCTTTTTTTCGAGACAGAGTCTCACTGTGTGCCCTCGGTAGAGTGCCAGTAGAATCACAGCTCACAGCAACCTCAAACTCCTGGTCTCAAGCAATTCTCTCGCCTCAGTCTCCCAAGTAGCTGGGACCACAGGCGCCTGCCACAACACCCGGCTATGGCTATTTTGTTGCAGTTGTCATTGTTGTTTAACAGGCCCAGACCAGGTTCAAACCCTCCTGCCTCGGTGTATGTAGCCAGCTCCCTAACCACTGTGCTATGGGTGCTGAGTCTGTATCTAAGCATTTTGATAATTCTTTTTAAGAAACAGTACTGGCTCGGCGCCTATAGCCCAACCGGCTAAGGCGCCAGCCACGTACACCTAAGGTGGTGGGTTCGAATCCCCAGCCCAGGCCCGCCAAACAACAATGACGGCTGCAACCAAAAAATAGCCGGGCGTTGTGGCGGGCGCCTGTGGTCCCAGCTACTTGGGAGGCGGAGGCAAGAGACTCGCTTGAGCCCAGGAGTTGGAGGTTGCTGTGAGCTGTAATGCCATGGCACTCTACCCAGGGGGACAGCTTGAGGCTCTGTCTCAAAAAAAAAAAAAAAAACAAACTAGGCAGGTTAAACATGTAGGGAAGTTATTTCTGGGGAACACCCCAAAGAGGTCTGTTACACTGGGTGAGCCCCAAAGTCTGTTCCAGACAGTATGGCTATCATAAGTTGCAAAGGATATCAGGTTTGCTATTGGCCACAGAACTGCCAGCAGCTCTAGCTGCAGCTAAGAGCTGAGCCAACCAACCAATCCCATTTCTTACATGGGGGTCAATGGTGCCTCTCTCTAGCAAAACACTTACAAATCATTTCCAAGTACATGGTG